CATTTGTTGATTTGTTGATGATAGCCATTCTGACAGGTGTCAGATGGTACCTCATTGTTGTTTTGATTTGTATCTCTCAGATGATTAGTGACTTTGAGCATATTTTCATATGTCTCTTGGCCTTCTGTATGTCCTCTTTCAAAAAGTGTCTATTTAGGTACTTTGCCCATTTTTTGATTGGATTGTTTATCTTTCTTTTGTTAAGTTGTATGAGTTCCCTATAAAGTTTGGAGATTAAACCCTTATCGGAGATAATATTGGCAAATATGTTTTCCCATGCAGTGGGCTTTCTTGTTGTTTTGTTTATGGTTTCTTTTGCTGTGCAGAAGCTTTTTATTTTTATATAGTCCCATTTGTTTATTTTCTCCTTAGTTTCCATTGTCCTAGGAGCTGTATCAGTAAAGATATTGCCACAACATGTCTGCTATTTTGCTGCCTATGGATTCTTCTAAGATTTTTATGGTTTCCTGTCTTACATTTAAGTCCTTTATCCATTTTGAGGTTTTTTTTGTTTGTGTGTATGATGTAAGTTGGTGATCTAGTGTCATTTTTTTTGCATGTATCTGTCCAATTTTCCCAACACCATTTATTGAAGAGATTGTCTTGAACCTGTTGTATGCTCTTGCCTCCTTTGTCAAATATTAATTGAACATAAAGGCTTGAGTTGACTTCTGGGTTCTCTGTTCTGTTCCAATGGTATCTGTATGTCTGTTCTTGTGCCAGTACCAGGCAGTTTTGAGGACAGTGGTTTTGTAATATAGCTTGATATCTGGTATTGTGATCCCTCCAACTTTGTTCTTCTTTCTCAAGATTGCTGCAGCTATTTGGAGTCTTTTTTTTATTCCAGATGAATTTTTGGAGAGTTTGTTCTAGGTCTATGAAATATGCCATTGGAATTTTTAAGGGGAGTGCATTGAATCTTTAGATGGATTTGGGTAGTATAGACATTTTAATGTTGATTCTACCAATCCATGAACATGGTATATTCTTTCATTTGTTTATGTCTTCCTCCATCTCTTTTTTCAGAGTCCTGTAATATTCTGAGAACAGGTCCTTTACCTCCTTGGTTAAGTTTATTTCTAGGTATCTTAACTTTTTTGTTGCAATGGTAAATGGGATTTTTTTTTTTAGTTTCTCTTTCTGTGAGTTCATTATTGGTGTATAAAAAATCCATAGATTTCTGGGTGTTAATTTTGTATCCTGCTACATGCTGAATTTATTTATTAAGTCTAGTAGTTTTTTGATATAGTCTTTAGGGTTTTCTATGTACAGTATTATGTCATCTTCAAATAATGACAATTTTATTTATTATTTTCCAATTTGGATGCCTTTTATTTTTTCTTCTTGTCTGTTCTCTATGACTAGCACTTCCAGTACTATGTCAAACAGGAGTGGTGAAAGTGGGCATTCCTGTCTTGTTCCTGTTCTTAGGGGAAATGGTTTTAGTTTTGAGTATGATGTTGGCTGTAGGTTTGTCAAATAAGGCTTTTATTATGTTGAGGTATGACCCCTCTATTCCCATTTTGCTGAGGGTTTTTATCAGGAAAGGGTGTTGGATTTTGTCAAATGCCTTTTCTGCATCAATTGATATGATTATGTGATTTTTGTCTCTCTGGTTATTTATGTGATGTGTCAGGTTTATTGATTTGCGGATATTGTACCATCCTTGTATCCCTGGAATAAATCCCACTTGGTCATGGTGTATGATCTTTCTAATGTAATGCTGCATCCAACTTGTTAGAATTTTGTTGAGTATTTTACCATCTGTGTTCATCAGGGATATTGACCTATAATCTCTTTCTTTGTAGTGTCTTTATCTGGAATTAGGATAATGCTGGCCTCATAAAAAGAGGTTGTAAGTGTTCCTTCTTCTTGGATTTTTTTGGAATAGTTTGAGTAGGGTAGGTGTTAGTTCTTCTTTGAATGTTTGGTAAAACTCCCTTGTGAAGCTATCCAAACTAGGGCTTTTGTTTGCTGGGAGATTTTTTATTACTGCTTTTATTTCATTAGTAGTTATTGGCTTATTCAGATTTTCTTCTTCCTTATTCAGTTTTGGAAGACTGTTTTCTTTTCTATGAATTTTTCCATTTCATTCACATTGTCCAGCTTGTTGGCATATAGTTGTTCATAGTATTTTCTTACCATTCTTTGTATTTCTGTGATGTCAGTTGTTATTTCACCACTTGCATTTGTTATTTTATTTATTTGAGTCCTCTCTCTTTGTGTCTTGGTGAGTCTGGCTAAAGGTTCATCAATCTTGTTTATCTTTTGAAAGAACCAGCTCTTGATTTCATTGATTATTTTTGTGGGGGGTGTGTGGGTGTGTGTGTGTGTGTGTGTGTGTGTGTGTGTGTGGTCTCTATGTCATTTATTTCTGCTCTAATCTTCATTACTTTCTTCCTTTTACTTGCTTTGGGGCTTTTTTTGTTGTTCTCTTTCTAATTCTTTAATGTGTAAGGTTAAATAGCTTATTATTAATTTTTCTGGGGTTTTTTTTTTGAGGTAGGCCTATAATGCTATGAACTTCCCTCTCAGAACTGCTTTTACTAAGGATGCTCTTAATATCCCTATTTTATGAAGAAATAAATGGAGACAGAGAGACATTATGTTGCCCGCTAAAGATCGGGCAGCTAAGTCAGATTATGCATCCATGCATGCTGGCTATAGATGCATTACCCAGAGACAATTTTGAGGAAAATAAATATAATCCTACACAGTGTGTGTGATATTACAGGCTGTTCATCTCTCTTTTCTAACAGTAATGAAGAGCTGTTTAAACTCTCCTCCCTGGATGTTACCCATGCTACCCTGGTGGATAAATTCTGGCATTTCGGTGGCAATGAGAGAAGCCAGAGATTCATCAAGCGCTGTATTCAGACCTTCCCCTCCTTCTGTCTTCTGGGACCTGAGGGAACCCCTGTGTGCTGGAACCTGATGGACCAGACAGGAGAGATACGAATGGGGGCCACCCTGCCTGAGTACCGGGGCCAGGGTCTAATATCCCATATGTTGTTTGCCACTACTCAGGCTTTGGATAAACTTGGCTTTCCTGTATATAACCATACAGACAAAGCCAACAATATCATACAGAAAGCCAGTCATAATCTGCACCATGTCCGCTTGCCCTGTGACTGGAACCAGTGGCAATGTGTGCCTCTTTGAAGCAGCCCTGAACACAAGGCAGTGTTGAGTGGGTTGGTCCTACAGCAGGAGAAACATGTGGATGGATGCAAAGAAAAAAGTAATGATGATCAGCAATAAAGCAGTTCATGTTTTGTGAGCTCTGTAGAAGCAGTGTGGGTGGTCAAGAGGACTGACATAGTCCCTGCTCATGAATGTCCCCTGGGTTCAGCAGACCTGGCATAGACAGAACTTGCTGTAGTGAACCCTGATCTTGTTCTGTTTCCTACACTTCTGGATCTCAGTGATACTCTTTATTAAACTGCACACTGCCCTAACACTTCTCCTGGTCTCTTATCTCCATGTGGATTGTTGTTGTCAATGGGGAAATTGGACAGGTACATTGCAAAAAAAAAAAAAAAAGAAAGAAAAAGAAAGTATGCCACCTTTATACCCCGCACAAGAATAAACTCAAAATGGATCAAAGATCTAAATGTTAGACCTGAAACCACAACAATCCTAGAAGAAAACATAGGCAGTAATATCTTGGACATTTCTCATAGCATTATATTTTCTGATATATCTCCTAGGGCAAGGGAAACAAAAGAGAAAAGTAAATGTGACTATATAAAACTTAAAAGTTTTGGACAACAAAGGAAATCATCAGCAAAAGGTAAAGACAACCCACTGAATAAGAGAACTTATTTGTGTATACATCTGATAAGAGGTTAATATCCAAAATTTGTAAAGAACTTATAAAACTCAACACCAATCAAACAATCCAGTTAAGAAATAAGCAAAGGACCTGAACAGGCACTTCTCCAAAGAGGACAAGCATGGCCATTAGATATATGAAAAGATACTCAACATTACTAATCACCAGAGAAATGCAAATTAAAACCACAGTGGGATATCACCTCACCCCGGTCAGAATGGCTATTATCAATAAATCAACAAATAACACATTTTGGTGAAGATGTGGATAAAGGCAAACCCTTGTGCACTTTTGAAGGGAATGCAGATTAATGCAGCCATTTTGAAAAGCAGTATGGAGTAAGCTCAAAAAATTAAAAATGGAACTGCTTCATGACCCAAGATTTCACTTCCAGGAATTTATCTGAAGAAACCTGAAACACTAATTTTTTTAAATAAATCTTTATTGTTGAAAGTCTTACATATGTCTCATTTTTCCCCCCATTGACACCATCTAGCCCGCCACTACCCCCCACCCCAGGCCTTCACCACCCTATTGTCTGTGTCCATAGGTTATGCATATATGCATACAAAATCTTCAGTTGATTACCTCCCACCCACGCACATTCTCCCTTCTTCCCTCCAAGATTCTGCACTCTATTCTATGCTTCCATGTCTCTGGATCCACTACGTTCATCAGTTTATTTTGTTAATTATATTCCACATATGAGTGAGATCATGTGATACTTGTCTTTCTCTGACTGACTTACTTCACTTAGCATGATACTGTCCAGGTCCCTCCATGCTATCTCAAAGGGTAAGAAATTCTTTTTTTCTACTGCTGCATAGTATTCCATGGTATAAATGTACCATGGCTTTTTTATCCACTCATTAACTGATGGGCATCTACTGATCTTAGTTATTGTAAATTGTGCTACTATGAACATAGGAGTGCATACATTCTCTGATACACTCATTTGAAAGAATATATGCACCTCTCTTTTTATTATAGCACTATTTACAATAGCCAAGATTTGGAAGCAGCCCAAGTACCCATTAGTAGATGAGTGGATAAAAAAAGCTATGTCACACACAATAGAATACTACTTAGCCATAAAAAAGAAAGAAATCTTACCTTTTGCAACAGCATGGATGGACCTGGAGAATATTATTGTAAGTAAAATAATTCAATCAGAGAAAACACATATCATAAGATTCCACTTAAAGGTGGATTCTAATGAACAAAATAAACTAACAAACAAAATAGAAACAGACTCATAGCTGTCAGAGGAGAGGCAGTAGGGAGGCTGGGTAAAACAGGTAAAGGAATTCAGCAAAAAAAAAAAAAATTTCATAGACAAAACAATATAGTCATTCCCAGAAGGAAATGTGGATAGGGGAACCTAGAGAGGGTTAATGGGAGATAAATGATGATGGAAAAAGACATAGAGACACAACGTGGGATAGTGACCACACAATACAATATATAGATAATGTATTTTAGATTTGCACACCAAAAACTTATATAATTTTATTAACTAACATAACCCTAATAAATTCAATAAAAAATAAAATTAAAAATAATGAATCTTAGCAAATATTTGTGTTTAGCACAGTATTGTTATCTATAAGTACAATGTTGTACAACAGATCTCTGGAACTTTTTCATCTTGCATAACAGACATACTTTGCCCTTTGAGCAAATCATTATGCTTCCCCCTCCCCAGCTCCCAGTAAGTACCACTCTATCCTCAGCTTCTATGAGTATCATTACTTTAGATACCTCATTTAAATGGAATCATACATTCTTTGTCCTTTGGTGACTGGCTTATTTATTTAGCATAATGTCCTGAAGTTTCACCTATATTGTCACATATGGCAGGATTTTCCTCTTTTGCAAATACTGAATATTATTCATATATATATTCAGTAGACCACATTTTCTTGATCAAGTCATCTGTTGAGAGACACTTAGGTTGCTTCCACTTCTTGGCTATTGTGAATAAGGCTGCAATGAACATGAGAGTGAAGGAAGCTATTCAAGGTCCTGATTTCAATTCCTGTGAATATATTCCCAGAAGTGGGATAGCTGAGTAATAAGATAGGTGTACTTTTTTTGTGTGGAATTCTCATATTGATTATAACAGTAGCTACACTATTTTACAATCCTATCACTAGTGCACAAAAGTCCCAATTTCTCCATATCTTTGTCACACTTGTTAGTTTCAGTCCCCCCAAAATTGAGCACAGGAAGAATTCAAAACCCTACCAAGTAAGTACTATTATTTACTGCTCTTTATATATACAGAAAAAGAGCACGAAAGATGAAAAAGTCTGTCCAAGGTCACATCGTAGGTAAGTAATGCAGTCAGGATCTCAACCCTGTTAGTTTGGCCCCATTGTTATCTCTCTGAGCCACTATGCTAGGCTGCTTCTATCATCATTGCCAGCACCTCACTCCATTACCCAGGGAAAAACACAGAGATGAAGACTGACACCAGAGCTCCTGAACCCCTTTCCTTGTACCTTATCCCAAAGAACGTAAGAAAATTTACATTCATTACTTCATGTAACACAGCAAGGATAAAAGCACAGAGTCAAGGAAGAGCAGAACAATGCTTGGTTATCTGGTAGGAAAGCACTCTCGACAGCTGGAGAAACATCCTGGAGAGGTTAAGAAACTAGTTTAAGATACAAGGCTTGGGGGTAGAGGCCCTGGAATTTTCTGAGTGACTGAGTGCAGGTGATGGCTGAAGGAGAGAGAGGACTAGGAGTCTGACTTCAGGTACTGGGCACAGAAGGATCCCACTCTTTTGTTGTAATCAACTTTAGTGAGAAACAGACACTACTTGGGCCCAAGGGGCCCACTCTATTGATAGTGACAGAATAGTTTCATTGGCCTTTGGCTTTAGAGAAAGAGTAATAAATGATCATAATGACTTTAACCCAGGAGATAACATTGAAAATTAATAGTCTAGGAGGGACGAGACTCCTAGAAAGGGCAGAAAAAAATATATGCAAACCTGTGTTGTGCTGATCCATGGACTGAAGGAGCACTCAAGCTCTTCTTTCTCTCTGGACACCAGTTACACCTGTCTCTGCTCCTCTGATTAGAGTTACTCTTGTTGCCTCCACACTGAAACTAATGTGGTAAGCAAGGATTAATGTGATGAGGACAAGATAGAGATAGTGTCAAACTTCCCTTGTTAGTTGTTTCACACAGTGGCTTTGATATTCAAAATATCACTTCTATGAATTCCCCTTTCTTTTCTGAGGATGGTAGAGCAAGAGTTAATGTGGGGGAGTGAGCACATTGGAGTGAAGAGTCTCTGGGTTTAAATTTTATCTAATTCAGCCATATTGAGCCTCCGTGTTCTTCTTTATAAAAGTGAGACTAAGCCCAGCCGGTATGGCTCCATGGTTGAGTGTCTACCCACGAACCAGGAGGTCACTGTAAGATTCCCGGTCAGGGCACAAGCCTAGGTTGTGGGCTTGATCCCCGGTGGGGGGGGGGGGGTGCAGGAGTCAGCCAATCAATGATTCTCATCATTGATGTTTCTATCTTTCTCTCCCTTTCCCTTTCTCTCTCTCAAATCAATCAAAATAACTTTTTTTTAAAAAAAAGTGAAACTAAGAAGTGCCCATATTGGATCATATTTAGGATGCTTATCTGAAGCTTCAGAATGGTCAGTGGAGATGGCAGTGCTTACACTAAAAAAGGAGAGTTCTAACAGTTTTAGTCACTCCATACATGTGATATTCTGTTCTGCATATGTGTAAGAAAATACATCAGATTCTATAAATCAGATCTCATCTATATCTTTCCTAAAATCTTGCTCTTATTGAAAATGAGAAGAGAAGAAAGAAAGTATTGTCTACACAGTCTTACTCTCCTACCAGTATCTGGCCTGGTAGTTTCACACACATTGTAGTGTCATAGTAGGGCCTGTGGGGGCAAAGAGCAACCTGGCATTTGGTGGGGGTAGCTCAGATGGCACACTGTCAGCCTCTGAATCTTGCAGAGCCAGCTCCTTCACCCTGAACCCAGAGAGGAAGGGTTGGATTTCATGAGAGCTGACACCATAAGATTTTGCTTTGTGCACTGTCCACGTTGCAAGCCTCAGCTCAGCAATTTCTGGAGGAGACATACTGAAATGCACTCTGTTAGATCCTGTTGAACTGCCTGCATTAAAATGTAATTGCATTATTGAGAAGTCTTCCATTCTCATTTGTCTCTGGGGACACCTGTGAAGATTGGTGTGGAGACAGCTCCCCAGGTAAGAACTTGTGCTTCTCTCCTCCCCGACAAAAGATAGGCATTGATTTTGAAATCCTCTCCACTTAAGTGACAAAAATCAAAATGTTCCTATTGTGTTATGTTCAGTAACTCCATATACCAAAGGAACATACATGTGGCACCTACTCTGTGAAAGCAACTTGTTAGGCACTATGAGCATTTTCTTGCAGGTTTCTGATCTGAACTGATAAATGAATGAGGAGAGAGTTGGCCACATTCTGGAAGCAGGTGGGTGAGTAAAGCACTTATGTGGGAGACACTGCAAACATCACTATATCTAATCCTCCTGGTTATAACTTTTTTGTTTAAAAGTTTAAAGGTCAATAAAGTGTTGGCACAACCTGATGACAGAGCCACGTCCTTGAACATGGGACCCAGGGGGAGGTTCTCCATCTCACACTCTGCTGCCTGAAGATTCCACCGCGTGCTTCACGGGTTCTATT